CCATAAACTCACACACTGGAATGCACTATCAAAACCAAAGCCTGTCCAGTTCCACCCTGGAAGGAAAACCCGCAGAGAATGTCAATATTCAGCAAGGGGCACTGAGCATTTCAGGTCTGGGCAAAACTCTGGAAATGACTAAGCCAGCCAGCGCTGTGAGAGCACGTGGACTCTGGTCCTGACTGAGATCCACGGACGCTCCTGAAGGGTTCTTCCCCATCACTGCTCTCGTGGGTGCAAAGGACCGAAGGGTAGAAAGAAGGCCCAAGGGCAGCCCTAGAAGCCCAGGGAGGAAGGTGGGGAGACACAATAGCTATATCTACAGCCGGGTTCACCCTGCCAACGACACACCCTTCAGGCGCCTTCTACTCAGACTGAAATTCACTCATCCCACAAGGAACAGTACCTGTGTATGAGGTTAACTGAATAAATGACAGAAATCTATGCGACAAATTACTAAACAAAATGTGGGTTTTATTGGATGCCAAAAAGAATGTAGTTTCTTCTCCAGTGAATTTTTTCTGGAGTAAATAAGGAATTGAACACACCTCCAAAATCACCTTCCGGTTCAGGTGAATCAGAACTCTGGACAGTGCACCCCACCATGCGTGTGCGTGTGCGTGTGCGTGTGTGCATGCATGCCCGTGTGTATTCCCTTGCTGCATTGCGCGCGCATGTTCCGGCACCAGGCTTTTACCATGGACATGGCTGGCACATCCCTCTGAGCAGAGTTAGCATTACTGAGCAACATCAGCGTCGAGATTAAATTGCTTAAGAATGGTAATCAGTCTCAGGAGTACTTTATTTAGAAAAGTTTTCTCTGAACACATATCGAAGACCCATTCCTCAGAGTCCTCTTGGAGAACACAAACTCCATTGGTTGTTCGCCGTCGAGTACGACCAGACCTTCGTGTGGTTTGTAGTGTTGGTGATTTACGGCAGGGAAACGCATTCACCTCCCTAGTCGTTGCAGACAAGCCTGCCGTGGGGGCGCCCACTCCCAGAAAAGTTCCCGTGTTGGAACTTGGCTGAACTGTGAAGGTAGTAAGCGCTAACGTCATTTGACCATGAACTCCCACGTGGCTGACTGTGGTCTGAGTCCCAGACCCAGAAGCTTAAAATTCACGCTGGGCATGTGTGCAAGCCCCGAAATACCAGGAGGAGAATGGAGGAGAAGGGGCTGTGGCGTGGCCATCCTCACTGGGGGTGATTTCTCAGTTTCTCTCTCTGTCTCTCCAGCAAGTGCACAGAAAAACTTTCTATAGAAAAATATCTCAGACAAAAAAAAAAAAAAAAAAAGAAAAGAAGAGTAGACACGGGAACTGTGAGCGCTGCTCCAATGGCCTCACTTATGCTAAGCACCCAAAACCACAGTCTTCAAAACAACATATTTTGCCTCAATATCTGCTTATCTTTGTGGACTTGAAAAACATGTTTATGAACTTGCTTGGAACAAAGACTCCAAGTGGCACAGCAGATAAGAACACAAGGCCGTGATAAGACCCCTCAGAGAAGCACGTAAACCGCGCTCTCAGCTCCATGCCACCAGTCTGCTCTTCGCTCCTCCTGCGTGGGAGCCAGGGCAGCTGCTGGGCTCGAGCACCTCCTCCGGGAGAAGCAGCTCACCTCTCTGAGCTGGAGTCACCGGGACACTGCTTTGCAGAATCAGGCTGGCCTTGGGCACCCGCGCTGTCCCAGGGACACGTGGCTGCAGGCCTGGGCTATGCCCCACTGCAGGGACACTTCCCTGGAAAGCCCTCGTTCTGATGGCACACCAGTCCCAGTGAGGCTTCCCCCGTGTGGGTGACGGGGTGCCAGCCTCGTGCAGGCCCACGCCACCCCATCTCGTACCCTGCTATGCTTGTTTGCGTGTTAGGACACTGGAGGTGAATAGAGCTTTGAGGTTAAGGAGAGAGACAGTCAAGCCATGGACTGATTCCCCATGCTCTCAGCAGGGAAGCTCGAGCTCTTGGCAAAGGTGCCGCCTTCAGACCCACCAGCAAGATGGCCTGTCCTAGACACGCCTCTGGGCCTCGGACCTCCCCCAAGCTGTGAGCTAAATAAACCCCATTCTCTTAAATGACCCTGACTCAGCTGTCTGTTACTAGTGGCCACTGCCCAACTCAGGGAGGACGTGGGAAGAAGAAGCCACCCCACCCAGGTGCACCCTACAACAACGGAAGACTGGCGAGGGGGCCCTGAGCACTGGCAGCTCCGCCTCAGGCAGACGGGGCTGGAGAGGATGGCGAAGATCCCTGTCCTCTCAGTACTCAGGCTTTGGAGAACACCGTCCGCTCAGCCCTCCCTGCCCCTATGCCTCTCAGACCCTACCAGGCATCCTTTAAAAAAACCTGCCCGAGGGTGCATGCTCTCAGGTGGGGGAGGGAGAGAAGGCAAGAAAGCACCCCCTATGGGCCACGGTTGGGTGTCACCCCTTCTCCACCTCCCCTCCTGTCCTGACTGTGGGCACGCACACACGCATTCGATGTATGTCTCAAGCTGCAGGGTCTGGGACTCGAACCACACAGCTGTACACACGGGACCCAGCTACCCAACCACCGTGCCACAGATTGGCCCGTCCTTTGAAAGATTTAGCGCAAGTGTCTGCTCATGCCTGGGGGATTGTCCCCTTCTTCCCCCGCACACTCACGGAACTCCGTGAGCTGCAGATGCCGCCCCCTCATACTGCAGGCGACCGGTGGTGGGGCAGAGCCCAAGGACCTTGATGAGAGATGGAGCGCCATGGTTCAGATGGTGGCACCGCAGTTAAGGGAGTTGGATCCTGTGTTGTTGGCCATGGATCGAATCCTGGCCCCGTGATTTGATCAAACATACCAGGCATGTGTGGGCAGGCGCCTAAAATCTGGCTGGAAAGGAAGGAAACGGATTGTAACATGACCATGCCCCATTGTGGGGGTGCTTCTCTCCCTTTTTCTCCCCCGTCTCCTGTCTTTCTGGTAAGTCCAGGCACGCTGGCATTCAGGAGAAGAGAGAGAGAGAGAGAAGCTCAGAATCTGTTTCCCTTTTTCTTTTTTCTTTCTTCTTGTTTTTGTTGTTGTTGTTAGCATTTTAGCTTTTTTTATCCACAGGGTCTAGCACAGGGTCTGCAAAGGTAGGGGCCAGTGAAGCCCGTGGAACAAGTGTGTGAACGAGCCATGCAGCAGTTAAGTTATTCCAGAGACTGACGTGAAAAGAGCCCAGTTTGCATGCCTCCTCCCTTCAGTCATTACACTTAAGAAACTAAAGACACAATACCTTTAAATATGAAGGAAAAGGCATTCCCACGAGCACCGGGATGGTGAGCATCATAGGTCAGCACGAAGCTCTGGTCCCTGTAACCCGCGTGGTGCCCTTTCTTCTGCTCCTTCTTCTTTTCCAGAATTTGTTTTTACACGCACACATGCACGCACACACGCACACACACAATCCTCCACCTTCTCCATTCGGGGACATCTTGACCAGCTGACACTTCGAATTCCTGGATGGGGTGGGGAGGCCCTAACCATTTCAAATACCTAAAATCCTCTTCCACCCTCTAAGTATGCTTTGAGTGGGCACCGTAGGTTATTAATGAAAAAAAAAAACAAAAACAAAAACAAAATTTGGATGGCTTAGAAGGAAATGCATGGGCATATTTCCTTTTTTTTTTTTGAGAGTTTTTTTTGCTATAGGGCGTGTGTGCTCACCAGAAAGACAGAGAGAGACAGAGAGACAGAAAGCGAGAAATCCCCCCCCAGGGGGATGGCCACGCCACAATCCGTTCTCCTCCATTCTCCTCTCGGGATCTTGGGCACGCACGCACATGCACCTGGCGTGAGTTTAAGCCACTGGGTCTGGGATGCGAACCACAGTCGACTATGTGGGAGTCCAGCGACATAGCCATTACGCTAACTGCTGGTCCCCACCATGGGCATATTTCCTAAGTCCATGGAGACAAAGCTGAAGTTTCCAGGGAGCCACAGACACTGGGGCTCAGAGACAGCACTTCAGGGGAGCCTGCAGTGGAGGGGCTGGCCGTGCACCCACACGAGCTCTGGGCCCTTGGCGAGCTCTGACAGACACAGCCTTTTTATCTGTGAAAGTCACTGGTGCCTACCCCGGGGCGCTATGTGAAGTGACAGAGGTCATGCTCGCAGAGCAAACCGCACAGGTAGACACAGCCAGCATTTAACCACGGTGCGAGCTACTCTTCCCTGATCACCTTCCCATGTACTTGTCTCTAATTTATTTATGTATTTTTGAGAGAGATTTCTGCTACAGGGCATATGTGCTCACCAGAGATTCGGAAAGTGAGAAGTCACCCCCCAGGGGGGATGGTCACACCCCAATCCCTTCTCCTCCATTTCCTCATAGGATTTTGGCTGCATACATACACGTGCCTGGCATGAACTGCAAGTTGTC